TGTAATGCATACAAACATAAAAGGGAGCCTTCAACCTCTATCATGGCTTGATCAAGAGGTGAGGCATGCATGCCAATGTAATGCAACCTAGGCATGTGAACTAGGCATGTAATATGAACATGCAAGCAAGTAATGATGCTAGGCACACAACCTAAGGAATCCATCATGCAAGGCATGGAAAGACAAGCATACAACATGTAATGTCGGCATGCAAGTAGGCAAGGCATGTGACAATATGTCAGGTAACTTAACCAAGATAAATGCATGCCAAATGCAAAGCCATTTAAACATGCAATAACACATGATAAGCCAAGTATGCAATCAACACACAAGGTGAGCATGCCACAACATGCGAGAATGGACTTAGACTAATTTAGGCAGCCCTCAAACAAGCCTAAAACAGTGGCCAACATGCTCTAGAATGAAGGCAAAGTGACATGTAAACATGCATGCACACAATGACCAACACTTACGCATTAAAGAGCAATTCTCAAGCGCACTTAAGAGGATGCAAAAATGGGCAAATGGCATGCATTACAAGCTCTGAAAATCATGTCATGAAAGGTGCCAAACCAAGTCAATAAGACAAGCTAAGCATGCAACAAATGGTCTAAGTACTCAAGGCAAGCCAAGGAGGCTTAAACCAAGGCCAAGCCAACCAAGTCTCACAAGGCTAAAGGGACTTAAAACAGGTCCAATGTAGACCTGAACAAAGCCAAGGATGTACCTAGATGGCATCTAGGTGGTCTAAATATGCAAGCATACAAAGAGGCACATTCATGGAGCATAAGGCAACAACCTTTTAACACATTGAAGGAGCATCAAACGCAAGCATATAGGCATGTTATAAGGACTGAAATAAAATGGTAAATGGTTCCGAACCACTAAAATAATGCAAGTAATGCGTGCTCATGGTCCATGCACTTGAGGCTCGCAAGCCAAGAATGCAAAGAGGCTATACTAAGCATGCCATGGTCGACCAAAGCAACCAAAAACAGAACTTCAACATGCTAAAACAAGCACAAAAGCTTCACAGAGCTAAGCCTAAATCATACTAGAACAAGGGTCTAAACCTAAAGCATGTTAAGGCAAAAATGTGGCATTACAAGACATGTATGCAAGGCATGCAAGGTGTGTCCAAACCAACATGAAACAGAGGTAATACATGGCAAAATACTACCAAATAACAGTTAAGACATGGTCAACATGAACCTAAACTAGGTGCTCACACATGAGGCAAAAATGGGCATTTTCAAGGACAACAAGGATAGGGGGTGGCCCCCTCCTTCTTAGGACCTCAAGGCACCATTTTCACCACTGAAATCCCTCAAGATTTCAGTGGTGAGGAGGCCTAAACAAAGTGGTCCCGGAGCTCACCCAAAATGGCACAAAATGGGGCCTAACAAGCCCTAAGAGGGGTCAAACAACCCCAAATGCCAAAACACTCTTAAACAACTATTTTAAGCAGGTAAAAATAGAACTTTTATATGTTATACACGAGGCTTAAAAACAGTTGCAAGATAGGTTAAAAAGCTATGCAAAAATGGGATAAAAAGGAGTAAGTTCTTACCCTTGTTGACCCTCTTCACAAACAATGCTCCAGCTGCCTCCTTTTGCTCAAAACCAGCCAAGAACTTCAAGAATAACCTCCAAGGACCTCAGCTACTAAGGAAAGGTGTGATAGTAGGTGTTTGTGTGCAATAGTAATAACAAACACACACTAATACACCAAAATGAGGAAGAGATATAGAGATAGAGTATATGTAAACCCTAACCCTAAACCCTAACCCTCTTATAGAGCTCACTCTTGCAAAGCTTCTCAAGTAAGATAGTCAAGAGGGAGATCCCTCTATACACGTGTATGGAGGGGAGCAAAGTGGGTGTCAGCTATCACAGCTGGCACAAAAATATTTGAAAAAGCAAATGAACAGTGGTCGGCCAGCCAAAAATGCAATTTGACCAAAATGGATGGCTGGTCGACCATCTAGAGTGCCGGTCGGCCAAACATTTGGCCGATGGCAACAAAATACAGCTGGTGGCCTCAAGCCATGGCCGGTGGAGTGTGGGGATGGCCAACAAGCCATTCCCTATCCCTCAAAGGCAAAACACAAGTGCTTGGTGCAAAACCAAGCACAAAACAGTCGAGTCGAGAGATCCTGAGGCAGGGCATGTGGCCGAGACCTCCAAGAACTCAAGATGAACACAAACGTGGATGATTTCCGAGTGTTCAAACGGTGACGTCCAAGTCTTGAGGACGGTCAAAAATGGGGTGTCTACACTCCCTATTAATATACAATTTTTTTTTTTTTGTATTAGATACACATAAATGAAACAGATTCACAGAAACAAGATAGGTGCAGTGGAGACAGATCAATTTTTTGTATTAGATAGATAGGTGTAGTGGAGACAGAGTGGAGAAATTTTTTTAACATACATCTCAAATTACTTATCTACAGATACAAAATGGAGATTCCGAACAGCAGTAGACGGTGGTCAGTGACACCCGTCAGTGAACACCAGGTCGATCGTGGTCGTGGTCGTCTCTCGCTCTGTCGTTGTCGTGGTCACAACTTTCTCTCGCCGTCGTGGTCGTCTCTCTCTCTCTCCTCTTTTGTTTTTGTCTTTTGTTTCATTTTTCTTCATCACTTTGTGCAGAACACATGAGCTCCACGTGCATCAAAATTTCACGCGAGAAACCATTCGAGCCTTTGGATCTTTCGGACCCTGTAATGGAATTGTTTTGGTAAACATTTTTCCTCATATTCTAATTCATTTTTTTAATCTTTTATATAAGTTCACTAAAAATTATTGCAAGAAAACCTCTCTAAAACTATAAAGATTTTTGTTTGATTTTTCTTATGTTTTTAGGAAACTTTTTCATATTAATCTTTTTAATTTGGAAAAATTATTAAAAAGTCCCATATGAGAATCAGTTATTCCAATTAGTTCCATAAATTTTCTAATACACTGATAAGTCCTATTTGTTTTGACAATCTTACTGTGAAATCTTATTTTGAATTTTGGTATTGTTTGGTGGACATTTTTACCCTTCCTTATTGGGGGATGCTATCTTATGAAAGTTGAATCCAATTTTTGCATCATATTTCCGTCACTCCAATATGTCATTCAATTGTAACACTTAAAAAAAAATATATATATATTAGTGTACATTTTCTAAAAATAAACTCCAATGTAACATACAAAAAACTCTAATATGACACTTCAATGCAACACAATTAAAAATTTCGTAGTATATTTTTTCTAAATATAATACTATAACACCCTCCAATGTAACACACAAAAATTTTAAAAATTAAAAAAAAACTCTTTACTATACTTTTGTCCAAACGTAACACCCTAATGTAATATACTAAAAAATTTCTTTGTGCATTTTTTTCAAATGTAACACTCCAAAAATATAATACTCCAATATAACACATTAAAAAATTCTATAGTGCATTTTTTTTTCAAACGTAACACTTCAACAAACAACACCAATTAAGGAGATTAGAATGGCAAATGAGTCATTACACATTTAAATGGACTAAAATAGATCACAAAAAAATTATAGAAATGTTTGAGAGCTCTAAAGGAGCTCTAGGGGGTGGGCCCCATCCATTGATGTGATATTTTGCTTCTTTTTTTTTTTTGCCACATCATTAACGCTCAATTAGAGTTTCAAAATTAAGGAAATGTATCATTGCTCAAAAAATTATGGGACTAACTAAAACATAATTCCAACGTATGAGATTTATCGGTAACTCTCCCCTTTTAATTTTTTTTAGAATCTACATTAATTACATCTAAAAATAAAAAATAAAAAAAGAATTAAAATATGAAAAGAAAATTCACTAGACAAAAATTGATCTAAAAATAAATTTTGAAAAATCTAATTAAATAGAAATAAATCACAATGCTTTGTTATTATACATCAAATCAGTTTGTAATTTTTTTTTTATTTGTGTAATATTTTACATTTGAAAAAAAACAAGAAATTATAAATTAATTAATTATAAATAATTAGACTGCAAGTAAAAGTTGTACTCTTCACTTGTATTCTATTTATTTATAAATTAATTATACATATATATATATATATAATAATATATTTAATATATATATATATATAATATGATAGTATATATAAAATCTCGATTAATTTTTTCCCCAAAAAGACAACATACAATTAGTTTGGGCGATTTGAGGTGAACATAGGTCCTGTTTGGTGTAACTGTTAGAACAGATTATAAATTATAACTTAATAGATTATAAATTATGACTTTAATCAGAAGTTGTTAATCTGTTTGGTGTAACTTTGGATTATAGATTTAAGTTGCTGAGTAGTGTTTGTTAAATAAGTTTTGAAGTAACTTTTTCAATTAACTTATATTTTTTTATTATTTACTATTTGTCTACATTTCTCATAAAAAATAATAATAATATTCTACAGTCTATTTGGGTCTTTTTCTATTTTTAAAAAAATAAAAGATAAAACAATCTAAGAGTATAACCGTGAATTAATATGTCCACAACAGAAGCTGATAATCAGAAGCAAGGGGTGAGCAGCTTCTCAGAATCAGCTTTTTTTACTTAAAATAAATTGTTAGAATCAGAAACTGTTTGAAATAAGTTTAACCGAACAATCCAAAATAACTTTTTAAAAGCTAAAAGCCATAAGTTAACTTAAAAAAATTCCACCAAACACCCTCATAGTCCAAGTTTTAGACCTTGATCTCAGTTACATTGACCTAAAGTTAAATCAATTCGTATCAAGCTTTACACTTTGTTTGGGAAGTTAAAAAAGAAAATAAATTATTATGCAAGTTAGGAGAGAAAAAAAGAAGAGAGTATTACTCTAAAAATATTAAATAATTTCCCACATTGTATGTGGTTTGATTGAGCTGTGTAAACAAAAACCAAAAAAAAAAGGTCATCAACAGCGAGACCCAAGAAAAGAAAAAGAAAAGAAAATGGAACAGGTAAAACATACAGAAGTCAAGTTTTAATGAAAACCTGGGGATTTTTTATTCAATAGGGGTAGTCTACATTGCTTATATTTGAGTCACAAAATTCCCACAAATTTAACCATACAAACAATCATATCTGGGATTTTTTTTGAAGCAAACACACTGAAATTTTCGTCCTTTTTTACTTCGGTTCACTCTCATCGAGTACGTGCAAACATTGAAGCAGTATCTCAGCAGCACGGTCCAATTCCTGCTCAGAAACAATCAGTGGTGGCACAAGCCTAACAACATTTCCTTTCCCAGCAGTTAATATCAGAAGACCAGAATTCCGACACGCATCCGCAAGTGGCGAGGCAGGTACATCCAGCTCTATTCCGATAATAAGGCCTAGTCCTCGTATTTCTTTCACGTGCAAGTTTCCTCCCAGTTTTTGCATCAACATTTCCTTGAAATGCTTACCTTTCTTGGAGACACTGGCCAAGAATGTTGGCTTTGAGATCTTATCAAGAACGGTAATGGCGGCATTGCAAATAAGGGGCCCACCGGCAAAAGTGCTTCCGTGATCTCCAAAATTTATGGCAGCAGCGATTCTCTCAGTTAGTAGTACAGCTCCAATGGGTAGACCTCCGGCAAGGGGCTTTGCAAGAGTCATCATATCTGGGAATACACCGTAGGCTTCATGTGCCCAGAGATAACCGGTTCTCCCTAAGCCACATTGAACCTAAGAACCAAAAACAATATATGCCCTTTAGCACATCAATATGAGATTCAAAAGTTGTAACTAGCTGATAATACAGATATGAGAATGTATTATGGAAAAAAGATAAAATCAATACTTTTCAACAACTATCCGTCCTCATCCTTGCAGTTTCAAAGGCACTTTACTAGTACTTATTTTCACCCATCAAATTAAAGTGGTTTATATAAAGATATGGCACTCAATATCTTTCCGATCTCATGTACCTCTGTCGATCAATGACTGGAATTATGATCAGAACTACGAGAAAGAGTGGGATAACATCGTTTTCAAAATCATTTTCACTGTCAGATCAGCTCATTCACCATTGCTACACCTATACAAGCAAACCAGTTATAAATCCATACTGACTTTTCATTATCCCCTTGGTTTCTGTCCTATATTTATTTTCCTGGTATTCCTTGCAAAGAATACCAACAACATTATAGCATATGTATGCTAACAACATCAGCAAAATACAAAGGCCTGATGTGTTTCCTCTAGTGAACACCAAACACGCCCTTCAGCCCAAAAAAAAAAAAAAAAAAAAAAAAAAAAAAAAAAAAAAAAAAACTTTCCTTCTCTTCTTCCTATAAACTTGTCTTATTGAACTATTTACTGAAAGAAATTCTAGTACAAGACATGAATTTACCCCGTTCACCATTAGATCCAAGGGCACAAAAAACTTAGAAAGTTGATATGCAGAAGGATATCTGTGATCTACAGTTTATTCCCGAGTGTGTGCAGCCACTGTAGCAGATAGCAAAGAGCAGGAGAGACCCTACCAAACCTCCATCAGAGAGAGAGAGAGAGAGAGTCTCCTCCCAGATCAATTTCCGGCACTGAATTTATTGCTTTGATAACGTAAGCGTCAAAACCCTACAAAATCCCAACCTATGCAAAGAGCTCTTCTTGAGTCTTAACAAGTGAGAGTTGCTGGCACCAAAAAAATTACACAGGGATATTTTCTGTTTAGTCTAGACATTTGTTACCAAGGAAAATTGATCCCAAAATGGGGTGCAATAGAAGTAGGCTTGTATATTTATGTGGTTAGAATGTAACGAGGTACTTTTAGTGGACAAAGTGGTTCCTTTGAAAAGGAAAAAAGAAAGAAAGAACAGTACGCGTGTAAGAGGAAACATTAAAAATCAAAATTTATATGCTGTCCATAACTTTTAAAAATTCTAGAAATTCTTGTGATTGAAAATAGTCATGTAAAAGCATTGAACAACCTCATCCAACATAAAACGAGCAGTCAATGCGTTATGCATTATGACCCTTTTTTTTTATTCATCTTAAAAGAATGTTTTAGTCCATAAGAATTATCTTCATAAATCTTCATGTTTTGTGTTACAAAAGAAAAACCTAATAAGAAAAAAATTTCAGGTTTCAAATTTAGAGTTCTTGGTTGTTCAAAATAAAAAATAAAAAATTATTGTTCTTGAGGGAAAGTTTTCCATTCCAGAACACAAGTACTAAACTGTGGATCCCTAGAAGACTTCAATTTTATTTGTTTAGCTTCAAGACATCTATTATCTTTAGAACACCAAACTCTACATGACAACAATAAAAGAACTCGTATATCAAGATGCCATTTTACTCACCCAGTATTTCAGCATCGAAACCAACATCTAACTGTGATCTTATTATACACTCCCTAAGAAACTGATGTGCTCATAAGTAAAACTCTAGAATCCATGGTACCATCATCTCAGAATATAAGGGAAAAAACCAGCTATGAACCTATTCCAATCCCATTCTCCTTCAAAAAGAATCCTTCATCACCACATCATGTGCTAGAATGGTAGGGAGGCATGTGTCAGCCATGCCTACTGTTTCCATCTATCCTACAAGCATATTGACCAACAGAAGATATGAACAGAACAATTGATCACTAGAAATTATGAAAGATAGGTTCTCCATAATTTTCTATGTCACACGGTTCAAATTGAGCAAAATGCCCATTCATACAATGTGATGATAGCTCTGAATGTTTAGCTTGAATCTTTAATATATTGCTTTGAAAAGATACCCCTAAAGTTGGTCACCAATGAACTACTGAAATTAAGTTCTACATGTTCTCTCCTTGTTATGTTTCCCAAGACTATCCTCTACAAGGATGATGCAACAAAGCTCATCACTCTTTTTTTAAGTAAGAATTGTATTAAATTGGTGTCACCCCTGTGGGAAAAAAAGAAGGTATGAACAAAATTACAAAACTATATTCCCTCCCCAAGGTGTAACTATCCTATACTTCTTTACAAAAATGTAATAAAGTCTATCAACAAAAAGAGGAATGAAAAAACCCCTCTTTTAACAAAAAATTAGTAGATCTGAGTAAAGTACGCTTAAATCTATTTATAGCCATCCATACTTCTTCAAAGGTTCACCAATTCCCCTCTCTCCAAGGCACTTAAGCACCAAGGAGCCACCTTCCATGCCTGCTTCAACCTCAAAGAAACTGTGTTTTCCATATGTTTTGTTTCCCAAGAAATTCTTTACAATGTGCCAAAGACGATGCAAGAAAGTTCCATCACTGTTTATCTCAAAGAAACTTTCCATCAGTATAAAGGCAGCAATAACTTGACAGTTTTTATTTATTTTTATTTTTTTATTCTAATACATTTCAATTAGGAGATTAAGTCCAACATTTTTGTAATGTTCAAAGACACACAATCCAACATGCATTTGACAACTTCTCATCAAAATATAGCTGCTCACCTCATCAAAAACCAGGAGAGAGCCAGCATCATGACAAACACTAGAAAGAGATTGTAAGAACTCCTTGGTGGCACTGTGTATGCCTCCTTCACCTTGGATAGGTTCCACAAATACTGCAGCAATCTTGCCACTTTGAATCAGTTCTTTTGCAGCTTGAACATTCCCATACTCTAAGAAAGTAACTCCAGGCATGAGAGGTTCGAAAGGTGTTCTGTAATTCTCTTTGCTAGTCAAAGCAAGAGCACCAATGGTCCTCCCATGGAAGCTATTACTAAATGAAATGAACTCTGTTGGTGGCTGTTGCACATTAGGACGCGAAAACCTTTGGAATTTTCTTGCAAATTTAATGGCAGCTTCATTTGCTTCTGTTCCACTGTTTGAGAAAAAGACGCGATCCGCAAAAGAACAAGCAGTTAGGCGTTTTGCGAGCTCCACCTGAAGCAATAAACCATTTGCTTCTCAATAAATTGAAAACAAAAGCAGAGGCAAATAGATATTATGAAAACAAGGGGGCCTCATTCTCCAATGGTAATGTATTAGAGAGTTTTTAGAACTTCTATCACTAACAAGTTTGTGGCAAACTAGAACTCCCTTTTTTTATTAAAATTTCATCCCTATTGCCTGAAAGATATAATGGCTAAAGAATTTTAACTAAAAGAAAGAAAATTCAACAGTTTGGAGATATAATAGTAGTTAAGCATCTTCATTTGGTGTTTCTTCGCTTCTTACCAATTGTACCACAGCTTCCATATGAAATGGACTTCAATCTATGTTTACTATTAGGGATAGTTTCCCTCATTATTTACGTGGGTCATGGCATACAATTTCCAGGATTGTTAGCGCAACTCCAATCCTTGAATCAAACCTATTTCAAATTTAAATATTTGGGTAAAAATCACTCAAAACATCCTCCTCCACTCCTCAAACCAAACTATATCAAAGTGAGTTCTACTAAAAGCTTTACATAAATCAAGGGAGACTCAAATGTTTACTCAAAAGTTTCTAAGCAATTTGTGACTCAAATTTATGTTTAAATTTGAGTTTGTCCATCGGAGTGGTTCATATATGAAATGAAACTTCTACTAATATTTTAGTAAAATTTTGAGTAATTGGGTCAATGGAACTTCATCTTGTGTGGAATCCAATTTCATTAATTTTACAACTGGATAGTGAGTGAGTGAGTGAGTGTATGTCCGCAATCAGTTCCTTTCCTTCTACAGATCACTTTAAAATCTTAAACTTCGCTCAAAATCGCCAACACAAACATATATAGAAAATTTAGTAGAATATTTGGGGGTGAATAGCATTAAAAAAAAAAAAAAAAAACCCAAATCAAGAAATAAAATTTGATCACCTGTGGAATAGAATAGTAGACATTGCTGACATGGGTGAGCACATTGGCTTGGTCTGTAACAGCTCTGACCCAATCAGGATCGCCATGGCCGAGCGCATTCACTGCAATCCCAGAGGTCATGTCCAAATACTCTTGCCCCTCGATATCATACAGTTTACAGCCCTTGCCACTGGAGAGCACAATCGGAGCTCTCGCGTACGTCCCTACCAGAACCTTGGCTTCCGCCTCCATCACCTCCTTACTCCTCAGCTTCGCCGCCGCCGCCGCCGCAACAGAATCTGCTGCTCGCACGTCCACGGTAGCACAGGAGACCACTCTTCCGCCACTGAACGGAAGTGGGAATCTTCCACTTTCGAGCTTAATCCAACGGTGAATATTGGTCGCTGGAGAAAGAGAATTGTTGAGAAAGAGATGAACTGAGGTCATGGTTATGGAATTGATGATTTTGAGTAATCAGTGGATTAATTGGTGTGAAATTGGGAGGAAAAATTAGAAAGTGTGAAATGAAATGACTACAAAGTGGAAGAGATACATACGTTTATTGATATGGATCCTCCGCACACTCTTTTATTAGGTTTATTATTGTAGCCTATAGGGTTTTCTCTCAACGTGTCATCAAGTTAAGAAGCTCAACCATTGTTATTAGAGGGTTTGCGACTCTTACTCACATATATTTTATTAAACAAGTATGCTGAAGACCCCAGTGAGGTAGTGAGGTGGCGAGCTTCCACGGCTGAAGCTCAAAAAAAATAAAAATAAATAAATAAAATAATTTTTTTTATTCAATCACAACGCGCCACTTCACTGGAGTCGAATTCCAGTGAGGGTCCGAAGCATTTTTCTTTATTAAATTTAAATTTGATATAATATATTTATTTTTTCTGTTTTAATCATGATATTAAACTCATATTTAATGAAAGTAAAGTCAGATTTGTTATCCAATCAATGGAATATTTAATTTTTCATCAAATTTTACAGACAATTGAATAGACGACCGGCCAGTTAACTAAGTGGATGACTAGTAGGACAATCGGGTGGATGACTAGCTTGGGAGAGTTTTGTTGAAAATTTACTTTAAGCCGAATGACTGATCAGATTTAATGAAACAATTAGAGCATAAAATAAATTTTTAGTTAAATTTGATGAAAATTTTGATTAAGCGTGAGAAATGCTCTTATTTATGTACAAATGCATAATGAATGAAAAATAAATATTACAAAAAATTTAAATATATATTTTTTTAATTTTTATAATTGAACTTGTAATTTAATACTAAGAGTTTTAGAAATTAGATTTTTTATAATATTTTTTATTCTAGTATTTTAGAAATTAATTCGCGTTTAGACTCTAGTAGATTGAGTTGGATGGGAGATAACTAAATTATAAAATAAAAAAAATGTGGGTTAATTTGTATATAAGAAAAATATTAAATTAATTATATTTTTGAAAGATAATTATAAATTAATAATAAATTTTATAAATATTTTCTTACATAATTTTATAATTAATTTTTTAAAACTTTTACTGAATTATAATTCTCCGAGTATATGGGGCACTCCAATCATAAAGTCCATTTCTTAATTTTTTGAGCCATTAAGCTCAAATTCTTATATCTTTGAACCAAAATGACATAATTTGTCCAAAATAATTACTTGAAATCAACATATCTATCAATCTTTTGAAATCACACCATCTCTTAAAATTATCAAATTTATCAATCTGTTAATATTCACCAAACTAGTTTTCCTATTTGTTGAAATTCACTAAGCCTATTTTTTAATGTGTTCAATACCCTATATGTTGAATACTACACATTTTTCTACCTTTCCACTACCACTTGTTGCCATTGGCTACCGACACCGACGATTTTTCTTGCTAATTTTCTAGTGACTTTTCAAGCATCAAAATTTTTTGATGACTTTTTCCAGCACTGGCGACTTTGTTGACATGTTCTTATTACCAAATAAGATTTTATTTTGAATTTAATGTCTTATACTCTCTTTAAATTAAAATTTTTAACAATTTTCTCATAAAAGATTAAAAAAATATTTTTGACCCTCCCTTCCCACTTTCTTAAATTATTTATTAATAATGATTCAGAGTACTAATTTTGGTGTTTTAATAGAGCACTAATGACATGGTAAGGAGAAAAAAAATATTAAAAAAAATAAATCAAGACCAAAACATCACATCACAATGGGTGGGGCCCATTGCCAACTTATTAAAGCTGGCTTTAAAGCTAAAAAATTAGAGCTTCAAAACATTTTTCATTATTTATAGTAATTTGTTAAATTATTTCCGTCACTTCTCTGCTGTGTGGCAGGGTTTTCTATAGTACAGGAAAAATTATATGGTAGTTTTGAGTCAAATTTATATGATATGTTAACTTGAGTCAAATTTATATGATATGTTAACTTAATATATTGATTAAAATAGTAAAATTTAATATTTTTTTTGTTAATTTTTTTAAAAATAACTTCACAAATATCAAGTGATAAATATTATTGAACAATATTCTAAAATCACTCAATTATCATGCCCTTATCTCTTTCAATCACTTTCTTCTCGTTTCTCTTTCGACTTTGTTAATACCATAATCTCTACAATTAACAAATTATTTAGGTTATTACAAAAAGAGCACATCACTAACAAATAATTTAACAAACTTATTGGAGTGTAATATACATATACATATATATATATATATATATAAAAAAAAAATTTTAAGTGATAAATATTATTGAACAATGAAAAATGAGTGGGAGCACTAATTAGTGCTATTACTAATGATGTGGCAGTGGGTCCCACCAGGAATGATTTGATGTTTTGGCCTTGGTGTTGTATTTTTTTTCTTTTTTTATTGAGTGCCATGTCATTAGTGGTCTTTTTAGAGCTCCAAAATTAGTAATCTCTATCATTGTTGATTGAACAATATTCTAAAATCACTCAATTATCATGCCCTTATCTCTTTCAATCACTTTCTTCTCGTTCTCTTTCGACTTTGTTAATACCATAATCTCTACAATTAACAAATTATTTAGGTTATTACAAAAAGAGCACATCACTAACAAATAATTTTAGGTTATTACAAAAAGAGCACATCACTAACAAATAATTTAACAAACTTATTGGAGTGATATATATATATATATAACAATTTTGTTAACTGTGTTGTAAAAAAAAAAAAAAAAAAAAAAAACTTTGTTAATTGTGTTATGTAAAAATAATTTGTGACACCAGTATTCCAACTTAAAATTACATGTACATGTTATGGGAATTTGGTATTGATTTTTTAGTGAACTTTTGAATATTTTTATTTTTATTTTTTTTTGTAATGGTTCAATGGGTTGAAGATCGATAAAAAAAACAAAACTGATTTTTTTAACATTTTTAGATTTGAAAATAGTTGATGTGTTGGGACACTACTAGAAAATTTGGCAAGTTTTAGTTTTTTTTAATAGCTTTTTAGTTTATTCAAATCTTATATAGATAAGTTTGATATTTTTTATGACCTGTACCAAGGACTAACCCTTATTAATATCTATCATGTGAAGAAAAATAAAATAAAATTAGCTCTTTGTCAACTAGCTTTCACTTCCAAGGAGGCTTTTGGGTTTTGGGAATACTATGGAAAGCTAGGGAAGTGCTCAAGTTTGGAAGCAAAAATTTGGACTATTTATATGAAGCTCACCATCATCTTGCAAAAAGGAATACAAGATGTGGAAATCGAATTAGATTTCGAAATGACAACAACCATAGTCTGGGATGGTGCAAATCGTAACTTGCCACACAGAGCACTAGCTAAATTCCTAACGAAGAGATGCAAATGCTCCATTGACCAAGGCAAAGAGAAGAAAACAAATGCGCAGATAAAATGACTATTCTAGGAGTAGAGAAAAGCGAACATGTTGTCATTTTGGAAGACCCACCAGAAGCTGTTAGACCTCTAGTCATAGCAGATATGACTGGAATTTGTTATGAGAGGGAATAGCTCTCCAAGCTCTTTTTTTTTTGTTTTGGTTCTTTTGGTGCTTCTTGTTATTTCCTTTCTGACTTTGTTTGTTTATAACATTCCTGCCCAAAAAATAAAAATAAAAAAATAAAAAAATAAAAAAAATTCACTTTTTATCATATTTGTCATAAAATAATTCTTGTAGATAATCCCAAACTGGTTTAAGTAGATAATCTTTTATCTCTGATAGACTTTATTTCATTTGTCATTAATTTGGAACACCAAATAAATAATATCATATAATGTCTGAAATTACTGAGTAATCACCTAATGTGGGTTAGGAAATACACAATTCATCTAATCACATGTACAATGTATTCATTTATTGTTCAAGGACAAAATAGAAAAAATAACAATGCATGGTAGTCTGAATTTTCATAGCTCGAATGGGTTGTCATTTTGAGACATTCAAGCCATTCGAACCACACAAATTCGAGCTACAAAATGTTTTCGTAGAAAAAATTATAGATCATTGGGATTGGCGTAGCTTCTGCGCATAGTTCATAACAGCCATTGTTGTGTGGCATTTGGGCCCATTTCAATGATCTGATTTATTCACTTTTATAGTATATCGAGTAAAATATTCTTGTAAAAAATTCAGTTGATCGGATATCGGTAGATCTTTCATTAAATCACATATGTATTAAAAAAAATGAATAGTAATAAGTGTAATTTGAAGCATACAAATGTGATTTGATAAAATGGTTATTGATATTCAATCAAATTAATTTTTATACAATTTTGTTTTACTGAGGGTTGGTTTGGGAAGTGTGTTGGCTTTTTGATTTTTTTGACTATTTTAGCATGGGCTAAAAAGTTTAGTTTGGGAAGGGTTTTTTGACTTTTTAGCTTTTTTTAACTTTTTTTGTAAGAGAAGAGTGTAATGATTATGAGTTGGATGTGATGTTTTGTTTGTTATGACTAAAATAACCTATTTTGTCTTTTGTCGCTATTTTAGTCACAAACTATCTTGCCAAACGAACCCTCAATATATTTTAAAAAATTGAACCAGTCGAAGTATTGAAATTAGCCCCCAAATGGGCCCAAATATGCCACACAACAATAGTTGCTAAGCATAGTCCGCAACAACCACTCTAATCCCATCCTCACCTCCAAAATTTTAATTATTAAATTATATAAAAAAATTCTAAATTTATAAATTTTGAGTTATATTTAATTTGTTGAGGGGTGCATTGGGAAAAAATAATTCCAAAAATTCATTCCAAAAAATTTTAATGTTCAAAGATCAAAATGAAAATTCAACAATAATTTATCAGAAATTGTACTTATAAGTGATGATATACTAATAGAAAATTATACATAGAATTTATATAACATAATGTGAAATTTTTTTCTATAATTTCATACTAAAATAAAAAATCATATTAATTTATTATTTAAAAAATAACAATTTCGCATCATTCTAGTTGTTGTTTTTTTTCTTTTTTTGGAGGGTGGACCAAAATTACATTTGCAAGTCTTTTCTTACCTTTGTGTATGTTAGCGGAGTTGTCAATAAACTCAGTCAAGTAACACAGAAAAATTTGAGTTATTTTTTTCTTTTTTTGGGGGTGGACCAAAACTACATTTGCAAGTCTTTTCTTACCTTTGTGCATGTTAGTGGAGTTGTCAATAAACTCGGTCAAGTAACACAGAAAAATTTGAGTTAGACGCGTTTTAAAATGTATTTAAATTTGATTTATTTTTATTTTTTTGATCTCAATAGAGTTTTATGTTAGTTGTCGGTTGCACACCAAAATAAAATAAATAAAAAGATAAATTAGTAATAGGCTCTAATAGTTGGACTTAATTCCTATCAAGTCCTATTGAAAATAAGTCTTGGTAAAATTGTCGTTAAAAATATTATTTTTTGTGACAATTTTTTACATACGTCGCTAAAAATTGACAATTAGTGACTTTTTTGTCATGATTTTTATAAATTGTTACCAAAACTTACAATTAGTAATTTCTTTTATGACAAATTTTTTCCATGGGATCTATTAGACAATAAATCTACTTATTAGGACCTACATATATGTAACTCTTAAAAAAAATAATATAAAAAAAACACGAAAAATAATATATATATATATATATATATATAAAAATTTGATATCGTGACACAAAGGAGATACCTATATTGGACATATAATTTATGGAATATTTACCTTTGTTGGACACTGGTGAATTACCTCTGCTGGACATATAACTTGGAGGACTTGGAGGATATATATATATATATATAAAACTACTAACTACTAACTTCTAACAACTAACATTTACTTTACTGCGATTTACTTTATCTCATTTATTTATTTATTTTATTTTCTTTTTGGGAGGTCTTATATCCCTTTTATTTTTATCGCACTTTAATTTACTGTAATTATCTTGTAAACTTTTGTTCTATTGTTCTTACTAATTTGCAAGTTTTTGTGTGTTTTTGTATAATAATAAATAAAAAAAAAAAGTCTGTAAGTGTTGGTGTATGCATTGTCGCCGTTCTTGTCTTCCAAAATTATGGTACGATCCTGAACTAGAGCGGACCCTTAGAAATCTTCGAAAATCTAAACCGACTTTAACCATGGCTAAAGCAGTAGTAGACCAACCTAGGTCACTGAAGGCACATGTTACCCCTACTACTAATGTCTCATCATCTTGCATCCAATTATCAATTACCGAAGCAACCCATTATGAGATTAAGCGTAGTACCATTCAAATGTTTTCATCCTTTCATGGACTTAGTAATGAGGATCCCTATAAACATCTTAGTGAGTTTTTAGAGACCTGTTCTACAAAGAAACTTCAAAACTTTTCCGATGACGACCAGGTTGAGACTATTTTCCTTTTCACTTAAGGATAAGGCCAAACTAATTAGATAAGACGTGCCATCAACAATTTCTCTCAAATTGATAGTGAGCACTTCCATGAGACTTGGGAAAGGTTTCGGGATTTACTCCATTAGTGTCTTCATCATCAAATAGCCCAGTGGCAACTTGTTCACATTTTTTATTCTGGTTTGACCGACTCATTTAAACAAATGGTCAACTTGGCCTGTGGTGGGATGTTTATGACTAAGAGTGATGTAGAGACATGGGAGTTGTTTGAAAATTTGAGTGAAAATTCCCTTAGCATTTGTCTGCCTCTCGTCATGAGAAGTTACTAACCCTTAATGGTACGAAGCGAGGTGGCCTGCATGAGGTAGGTCATAATGTAGATATTGCTCAGAATGTGACGATCACATTGAAGATCCAAAAGGAGAATGGAAAGCATGCCAAAAAAAGGCCGAGAAGTAAAAATAGTGTACTCCCCTGTTAGTTTCCCTGTTCCCAGCACTAGACCTGTTGCACTTGCTGGTATTCATAGAAGTAAAAATCTTCTGAGATGAAGAAGCCTTACAATTTTCTTAATTTAAGATCATGTTGCTCAAATGAAGATAATTAGACATGCAAAACTAAGTAAAACTAAGTTGGTGACATATGTTGTATGAGCCATCATATGATTGCATCCTTTTTTATAATGCTTTAATTTGTTTTTATTTCTTCTGCTGTCGCTAGGGGTGTTCAAGCAACCGAATCATCCGACTAATCCGACCCGAACCGACTGACCCGAATGCATGACGGACGGTTTCGAGCTTAGTTTCGGTCGAAGGCGGGTCTGGTTTCAAAATTAATTTCGATTTTCGGTCGGATGTCGGTTCTACATAATAAAAAATAATTAAAACCGAACCGACCGTATATTATTAATAAATTAATGATACAAAATTCTGATGATGGTTCTATAGCTTCTATATATTTCTCTAATTGATTTGACAAATCACACACACAACTTCCAACACCCTTATCAACATCTCTCTCTATCTCAAAGAAATCAAAAGACAGGCCATGATCACAATCTCACCAACCCCCTTTTCCCCTCTCTTTGTCTCTCTTTGTTTCACAGTGATAGATTTCAAACCATCATCTTGTATCTCAAACAATCAAACGGCAGATGATGGTGGTCTCTCTTCTCACACAGTCACAAATTTCAAATCATATTGTATCTCAAAAAACTCAAACAGCAGGTGGATGATGATGAGCACCCACCTACCCTTTCCTATCTCTCTCTCTCTATATCCCTCTCAAGCTCTCACTTTCTTCAGAAATTTCCCAAGTTCTCTCTCTCTTTCACGAATTCTCTCCCTATTTCTCTTTGAAACCCTAATGCATCCATAGTTTCTCTAATGGTCTCACCCATAAATCTGAACCAAATCTTTAATTTCAAACCCTAAATACTCTATATATTAAAGATCAACTATGAAAACCCTCTTTGATTCAAGGCTATTGATGAAGAAAACCCTGTAACTTCGAAGTATTGAAGTTTCAAAGTTCTCTACTCAACGATCAACCAAACCCCAGGTACAATTTTATGAAAATTTTGTAATTTTTTTTGTTAATGGTTAATCATTGTTTTAATAATGTTTACTCAAACCTTCCAACCCATTCACAAATTATTCTCTCTCTCTCTCTCTCTCTCTCTCAAAAGTAAAAACACACATGTATTACATACATACACCTACGCACTCTCTGTTTTTGTCTTCTCACTGTCTCATTGCATGAACTCGGATTTTCAATTCAGATTTTCAGCCCTGGAAACCGAAAGATTTTTCAAATAGGTACTTTTTTTTTTCATTATTTTTTTTTCTCAAGATTTTGGTTTTTTTTTTTAGTGCTTAAATATGGTAGATATCATATACGTATTTTATTATCGTTTCATGAGAACTTAATATGATGGTGCTAAATTTTTCAGTTTCCATTAACAATTTATTTGAACTATTTATGTTCATTATTTTTCAATTTAAAATGTTTATTTACCATGAAAGAAAAATATGTATTAATCTGTTCATTTTAAATGTTCAATTTAAAATGTTTTAATCTGTTGTTTAACATGAAAGAAAAATATGTTCACTGTTTTAATAATGTATATTGATTGTTCTGTTGTTTAACATGTTCTTTATTCAAATTAATAATCCTTGAGTTTTTCAAAGGTTTAATGTGTTCATATTGATTATTAAAGGTTTACTGTATTCTGTTTGAAAATATGTATTCATATTGATTATTAAAGGTTTAGGCCAAGTTTGGGAAGACTAAATAAGTGCACTTTTTGTCTTTTTGGACTAAAAAATTGAGATTGAAAATATGGATGTTTGGGTTAACTTTTTGACTTTTTATGAAAAAATGTGTAATAAAAAATTGTAAAAATTGGTTTGTAGAGGAAAATTTGAATTGGGAGTTGTGCAGCCGTAATTGTTGACTTTTGGTGAATAGTGTTAACTTTTTAACTTTTTGAGTAACTTTTTGGCTTTTTGGCTTATTTGGGACTTCCCAAACTTAGCCTTAATGTGTTCTGTTTGAGCATATTGATTGATATGTTCTGTTTAATGTGTTCATATTGATTTGTAAAGGTATTGATTATTAAAGGTTTAATGTGTTCTGTGTAAAAAAATAAATTTTGAGCATTTTTTTTTTTCATTTTTCTCAGGAATTGGTTTTAAAGTAGCTTCAAAATGTCTATTATTTTTTAAATGCTATTATGATTTTTGTTTAAGTTTGTCATGTTTTTGTATCATTGCTTTTTAAATTGTTTATGCAATCTTTCATGAGGTTCTTTCTTCTTCTTCTTCTTCTTTTTTTTTTGAATTTGTAATAGATAATGGATCATCCAAATCAGCATATTGCCCAGGATGCTACAGTTATTCCCCCTTCTACTATCCAAGACCCTATTGATAATCCTTAAAAACCACCTAAGGTGCGTGCAAAAGGTACTGGGAGAAAACCTTCGAGGGCATGGGATCATTTTGATAAAATCAAGGCTGAAGATGGGGTAACTAGGGCTGTTTGTAAATATTGTCAAAAGGAGTATTTGGCTGATTCGAAGGGGCATGGGACAAGCAACTTGTTAAGTCACTTGACTTCTTGTCGAAAATATCCTCGCAGAGATGTGGATAATAATGGACAACAAACTTTGTCTTTTCAGTCCAAAAAAGATGGAGATGAGGGTATTAATCTTGTGGCAATGAGCTTTAGTGTAGAAGCTGCAAGAAGAGCTCTTGCTGAGATGATAGTGCTTGATGAATTACCTTTTAGGTTTGTAGAAGGCGAAGGGTTTAAGAGATTTTGCGCCGTTTTGCAACCAAAGTTTAAGAACATTCCACCTCATATTACCATTGCTAGAGACATTGTAGGGATTTTCAACAATGAGAGGGATAAGTTAAGGAAAGTATTGAAAGGGCGTAGAATTTGCCTTACCACTGACACGTGGACCTCAACTCAAAACTTAAACTATATGTGTCTCACAACCCACTTCATAGATGATGATTGGAAATTGCAAAAAAGAATCATAAACTTTGGTCAAGTGGAAGATCATAAGGGAGAGACAATTGGTAAAAAACTTGAAATGTACTTACTCGAATGGAATATTGGTAGCATATTTACATTGACTGTAGACAATGCTAGTTCCAACAGCACCACAATTAAGTTTTTAAAACGGAAAACAAGGGACTGGAAAGGGACTGTTTTGGGGCATGAGTTCTTACACATGCGCTGTTGTGCGCATATTCTGAACCTTATAGTGGGAGATGGTTTGAAAGAGCTTCATACATCCATTGCTAGAGTTCGTGAAGCTGTGAGGTATGTAAGGTCCTCTCCCAATAGATATGAAGTTTTTAAGAAGTGTGTTGAGAAACAAAAAATTGTGTCGAAAAGTCTTGTGTGTCTTGATGTGCCAACTAGGTGGAACTCCACTTACCTAATGTTGGAAGCTGCTGAAAAGTTTGAAAAGGCTTTTGAGAGATTGAGGATGAGGACTCTAATTACCGAGCTTACTTCAAGGTTTGCAAGGGTGAGGATGGAGATGGGCAGGTGTTTGGGGATGAAGATGAGAATATGGATGAAGATGAGAATGAGGATGGGGATGGGGAAAATGGGAGGAAGAAATCAAGGAGATCTCCAACAGCAAGAGATTGGAATAATTGCAGAATTTTTTTAAAGTTCTTAAAACTTTTTTACAATGCAACCAAACGATTTTCAGGTTCTCTTTTTGTTACTTCCAATTGCTTCTTTGATGAGATGTTTGTCATCCAAACCAAGATAGAGCAATTAATCAAAAAGGATGACAAACTTTTGTCCACAATGGCACAAAACATGAAAGAAAAATTTGAAAAGTATTGGGGTAATGGGGAGAAAATCAACTTACTTGTGTATGTTGCTTCCAATGAAGAAAAGTTTGATATATTGGGATGGTGGAAGGTCAATTCTTCCAAGTATAGAGTGTTGTCTCAAGTTGCACGTGATGTCTTGGCAATACCCGTCTCTACAGTAGCTTCTGAATCAGCCTTTAGTACAGGAGGACGCATTTTAGACCCATTTCGTAGTTCATTATCTCCAATGATGGTGGAGGCTCTGATATGTACACAGAATTGGCTTCAAAGCATAGTTCCTATTTCTCTTCGGAAGGCAATGGATGATGTGGAGGAACTTGAACAATATGACCCTGTAGGTAACTTTTTTGATTTATTTTTATATTTATGTTTTGTACTAAATATAACATAACATTGTTTTAAATTTGGATTAATTGGTCTACTGCTTGTAGCTCTTTCTGAATTGGCATCAACCTCAAACCCAAGTCCAAATATTATCACACTCTAGTATGGCTTGGTAAAGTTACTCAATTCTATATCTTTAATTTTTATTTCTTACTTAATTAATAAAATCTATTTGCAACATGTTCTCATCTTCTATGTTTTTTGTATTTGCAGGCTTCGATCTTTTTGGTTTCATGGGGAGTTAACTGACTTTCTTGACTTTTGGTTTTATACAATTAACATAGATCAGTACTCTTCTTTTTGACTTTATGAACAAATATTTTTGCACATGGATAGTGATTGGGATAACTATACTTGTGAATGTTTTGATGGATTACTGTCTGTAATTATGATAGACTGAAAATGGATGGTGACAAACTAAGTAGTTAGCTTATTTTGTTAGTTTTAATGTGGATGGTGGCAGTAGGTGGAATTTTTTTGGCAATACTGCTTATTGCATTTGATGTATTTTGGACAGTTTCTATTATAGCATTTGATGTATTTTGGACAGATTTTATTTCTTTCTACTGCTTCAGATTATTTGATGCATTTGAAGTATTTTGGACAGATTTTATTTTGGACAGATCGATTCCTAGTGCTACAGATTATTCATTTAGTATTTATTATGTTAGTGCTTCAAATTATTCATTTGGACAGATTCTATTCCTAGTGCTTCAGATTATTCATTTAGTATTTATTTAGTTAGCTTACTTTGATGTATTTTTTGGTAGCAGGTTGTTTGTTTTGGATTGATTTTATATAGGTTATTCATTTAGTATGCTAAACTATTTTTTTATTTTTGGATGAATGAAATATTTTAGTTTGGGTTGTTTATGCTTGGATTTATTTTACAAGTTATTTATTTTATTCATAATGGGCTGTTTGGACTGATTCTAAATAAATTATTAAGTTTTTTTTTTTTAAATGGGTTTATCTGTAGAAAGGGCTGTTTGGGTCATTTTCCAAAGCAAAACATAACTAAATTATAAAATTGGGTTGTTTGAATGTTAAATGGGTTGAAAATAATAGTTATTCATAAAGGCCCAAATTTGAAGGCCCAACCCGCCCAACCGATCCGAACCCGACCGTTAAACCGAAAATCATCTACGGGCGGTTTCGCCAACAAATCCGGTCGGAATCGGTTGATTTCTCACCCACCCGCACTATTCCGGTTCGGTAGTGGATAGAGGTTCAACCCGACCCGAACCGACCCGTGTACACCCCTAGCTGTCGCCATTCCCATTGCTTTCTCCTTCAAGTTGAGATAACTTACAGATACTTTGTGCATGTAGATAGCAATTATACCACGCACTCAGCAAGGACATGGATGGTTAAGGCTTGCCACCGGAGTGGTTGCGTTTTCTCAAAGTATAATTCAGGTGTCTGATCATTGAAATCTCATTCTGCTATAATATTTTTTGGTTTTCCTGGGTGTATCATTGTATTGTTTACTGTCTCTCTTATTTATTTATTTTTTATTATTATTTTGCTAATTTACATATCAGTGCACATTTATTCTTGTACCGATTTGGAGGGTGATTGGACACTGTACAGAAATGGAACTCCTCTGTTTTATTTTTTTTCTGTTACATTTTAAATGAAATCTATATCTGTTACATTTTAAATATGCTGAATTTTTGATTTTAAATTATTTTTTACAATATTTTGGAGTGATGCTTTTGTCTAATACAAACATATTTGCGCATGTCACTCACATAATATATATACACGTTAAAACATAAACTCGTAATGTGAAATATCAATTTTTGTTATGTAATGCATAAAGTGAGGACATTTCAAGACCTTAGAGACATGACCCCACAGGAGCATGCTAAACTGCTGACTCAAGTTGCCAGTTTCTTAAGAAACAAGGTTTTAACGGGCAATTTAGGGGAGGGGCATCCCTAGATCGCTTTTTTGGTAAGTCTATCTTGCTTTATCTTTTTATTTTTCTCACGTTGGTTAGTATATATTGGTTAAAACACAACTGTTTAAGAAAGTTACACTTGCAACATTGTTAAATTGCTAGTACAAACATTGAAACATTGAAAATGATCATAACACACTAAAATGCTTAGTTTTATATTGTTTATGTCGATCTATCTTAGTTTGAATTTTGTGAAATTGAAAACCCATTAAAAACAATCAACCCATATCGGTATTTCTCGTTTCTTTCTAAGCAAAGTTGGAGAAACAGTGTGTGAGATAGTGAAGTTGTATCAAAGGGACATCCACTGGTAGATAGTGAAATTTATGGAGAAAATTGGAGTTAGTAGAACAAAGATCCAAGTTTCATTGAACCATTCTATATGACAATAAAACTCATCATGTTGCTTGATTGTTTTCAATATTGGCAGGTTCATAGGTGTTCATATAACTTGCAAGAACTTGCCCCCAATTAAATTAGCTGTTGTTTTGTGATTTAGTACAGATGAAAGTCAAATTTCGGTAGAAAATACATTTTTGCTAAATTGGTTTACTCATATATAAAATTATTTATATATGAGTTTAGATGTAATTGATAATATATTAATGTTTTCCTTTTTTATTTTCTTTGCAGATTGATTTTTGGATGGCATTTGGAAGCATACTTGCAAATCAAGATCAAGTGTTAATTTTTTTTGTAGACTGATAATTAGTTCTACTTGTAACTGATCAAGTGTTGATTTTTATTTATTTATTTATTTTTTGTGGATTGATACTTAGTTCATTTTGGGATTTGCTTTGATTGTCTTTTTGTTATAGTTAATGAATTGTTATTAAATTTGTTTGATGGATATATTTTGGTTTATAATATCAATTGTTTATTGAATTTTTTGTGGAGTAGTGTATAATAGCTAATGGATTTCTTAGTAAAATTTTAAGGCTATTGAAATATGAGCAGAGATATTTGTGAAATAATAATTTAAATTGAAATATAAAATATGCAACAATAAGTTTTGTGATGAATTTTTTCGTCGCATGTACTTATTGTGACAAAGTGCTTATTCATCACCAATAAATAACTTTTTGTGACAAAATTTGACATTGTTTATATATGAAAAGTTTTGTTAATTTTGTTGTTTGGTGACTAAAAATTTTGTCATATAAATCTTATTGCCACGAAATATATTTCGTCACTTATATCAAACTTTTGAAGACAAAAAATTTCGTTAACTTTACATCTTACCGCGACGAAAATATTTCCTCGCTAATGATCAACATCTGTGACAAATTTTTTTGTTAACTAAAGTTATATATACGGTACTGAATAATTATTTGGTGACGAAAGTGAGGATTTTTTGTGAAAAAATATTGTCTAATTGGTGACAAAGGTTTTCGTCACTAAAGTAATTTTATTAGTGACGAAATTCTTTTTCCTCACTGTGATCTTTAGTGACGATCATTCAATGACAAAATCGGTGACGAAAATATTTCCTCACAAATATCTATAGTGACAAAATTAGCTTTTTGGTGACAAAAATAATTCGTCATTCAAGACCCAACTTCTTGTAGTGAAAGTTGAAATATTGTCTAGAAAAATGGACCAATTGTTAGTAGTAAGGCACATTTCTTCACAACCAACACAACCGTCATACCAAGATGCTTGCACAATCTGTTTAAGTCCTATCCACTGTGCAACCGAGTGCCCATCAGCACCTTAGTGTCCCGAGCCAATTCAGGAGCATGCTAATGCCGTCAAAGGTTTTCTAAACCGGATAATGATCCATTTTCCAACACTTATAGCCCAGGATGGAGAAACCATCCAAACTTTTTTTGAATCACAAGGAAATCATTATGTTCCATCTCCACCAATGCATAATTTTCAAAATTCTGCTGATCCACCTCTCTACCATCCTTTGTCTCAACAGTCATATCAATATCCTCCTTAGAAAAATTCTACTTTTAAGGAAATAGTGTTATAACTCCTATAAGCTACAAACCAACTTGTCTATTCTCACTCCCAATCCATTTCAAAACTGGAGATCCAAATTGGCCAACTAACTAACACGTTGAGTAAAAAGGACGAAGGACAATTGTCTAGTCAGCCAGTCAAAAATCCAAAGGGACGGTATGGAGTGGAATCATCTAGTGGCAATAATATAAAGCAAATTCAATCTGTCATGACTCTTAAGAGTGTCGAGAAATACCAAATAGAACTAATGGGACCAAGAAGAACATGGGTGAGCAGGGTATTCAAAATCAACATCCACCAGAACAAAGTGATGAGACCAGAGAAAATAGTCCTACCTTGAGTCTTCTATGTGAGGTACGGCACCCTTTGTGCTGAAGGCACCATATCCCTAGTGCTGAAATGATCCTTCTGATTTCAGCAAGAAGAAAAAGACATCTACAGAAGTAATGATTAAGATGTTCAAACAAGTAAAAATCAACCCCCCTTTGTTGGAGGTGATTCAATAAGTACTCTCCTATGTCAAATTTCTCAAGGACTTATGTACGCAAAAGCATAAATCCAAGATCCATGTGACCAAAAAAGATCGTATTCACTAAACAGGTGAGTTCTATTTTGACCAACAACATTGGCCATAAGTTCAAAGATCTAGTTGCACCTACCATCTTTTGTATCATTGGTGAACACTTGATTGAAAAATCACTTCTTAACGTAGGTGCTAGTGTCAACCTTCTTCCATATTCGGTGTACGAAGAATTTGGGCTTGGTGAGTTGAAACCCACACTAGCAACTTAGTTGATCATTCCCTCAGAGCTCCTCGTGGCATACTTGAGGATGTCTTAGTTAAGGTCGACAAGTTCTACTCTTCTGTTGATTTCCTGGTCCTTGACATGGAACCTGCAATAACTGATAAGAAACAAATCGTAGTCCTCTTAGGGCGACCTTTCTTAGCTGCTGCCAATGCATGCATTAACTATAAGTCTGGAATGATGGAAGTATCATTTGGAAATATGCAAGTCAAAATGAATATGTGTTTCATGCATCCCAATACCCTTCCAATGATAGTGAATGTTTTGCAGTTGATGTGGTTGATGAATTAGTGGAGGACATTCTTCTATCTATTCTTTCAACAGATCCTTTAGAGGCATGCCTTACTCATTTTGAATTTGAGAATTTTGATATTGATAGATCCATTGAGAAGGTCAACGCTTCGCTTGACTTTGCTCCTCATATGAACCTTTAGCTATGGAACTCCCGATTTGAGCTCCTACCTATCCTCTTTAGTGAGCTTGTAGTACCTTCTATTGTGACCCTACCACAACTTGAGTTGAGACCTTTTCCCACTTCACTTAAATACTCCTTCTTATAGCCTGATGACACTCTTCCTGCGATAATTGCATCTAACTTGTCTAGTAAGCACAAATGTCACCTTTTACGTATATTCAAGGAGCATAAGAGTGCCACCATGAAAGAAGGAATGAAAAAGGGAG